ATATGATATGATATGATATGATATGATATGATATGATATGATATGATTGCCTCTTGTCTTTAAGAAGTTGTTGTCAGTTTCAGAACCTCCATCCAGGGCATTACGTAATTTATTCCTGTAATGGGAAAATAAGGTATGCCCATCTTTGTAGCCCTGACTCCTGAACTCTTCTTGATATAATTAGTTTGAGACTTGCTTTGCAACCAATTTCAGACTGAAATTGGACCGGATAAATGCCAGATACTGTTGACTGCTCAGGGATTTCAGAAACGTCATTGCCTTTAACTCGAAAGACATATTAAATTAAACTTTAGGGACAAATCAGAAGCATGTCAAGCTTGTGAAACCCCAAAAAATCCAAATAGATTTAACAAATGTGATATTTCTGCGTAATGGTGAAAACTGATGGTTAAAATGTTTTCATGGGATCTATTTTCTATTGCTGGTCAATCCACACTTAGTTTACAGAAGTGGATTTTAATTAAAGTTCCTAAGACTTTTGCACAGGAACAACAAATGGAATTGACTTTTTAATAGCTTTGAAATATGGTTCAATGGTGCTGAGCTGAAATCTATAGCAAGCTTTGCAGGTAATACAGGAAATGGTAGAGGGTCACTACACTGATTACGTTGGTGTAAGTAAGCATTGATCTTAGTTCTGGTGTGCAGCTTTGGACTCACTCTCTTGCTGGAGTTCCAATAGTACACTCTCTCTTCCGTACATGTTGGAGATGCTGCAGTGGACATTAACGGCCGGCCCACCATTGTTAAAGCGCTCGCCTTTCTCTCGCAGCTTGATCATGCCCGTGGACATGTGTCCATCTGTGTGAGTGTAGAAGTTGTACCGGCTGTCGGTTTCGTTAATGGTGATGTTCTGGTCGGGCAGGTAGAACTCAATGACGGGTTCGGGGTTTCCTGTGGCCATGCAGACACACTGGACTCCTTCTCTAACTACAGTGCACTTTGAGTCTTCCAGAAGGACTGGGGCATCTATGCAAGGAGGCAGTACAGTGAGAAGATTTCAGAGCACTGGTGGATGAAATGTCCCCTTTATAGCAACAGTTATAGAATAGTTATAGAATATTTCAGGTAAAATAAAAGCTGATGCAAATTAGGTGGGGAAAACTCTAATTCAGTCCAAAACGTAAATATAGTACAATATAAATACTTTTCCACAGATGCTCTGATTTCTGATATCATTATTTAGTTTGAGTCGTGTGTCTAAACACCAATCTCTTCAGAATTCAGAATGACGAGGCACTCACACTCGACAGTGATGTTGAGGGAGCTGCTGGCCCGTCCATGCTCGTTCTCTGCCAGGCAGCGGTACTGTCCATCTCCCTGGGGAGTGATTTCCATGATGTCCAGCACAGACAACTTGTCAGCAGTGATGGTCCCAACCAGCTCTCCGTCTTTTAGCCAGGTGAGGGTCGGTGCCGGGCTGCCCTCGGTGCTGCAATGCAGGGCCAGTGAGGTGCCCTCCAGCACTGTCATGGAGTCGTTTACCACGGGTTCACGAGGAGGGTCTTCAGCAAAAAAAAAAGGTTTTAGCCTGCTGTGATTTCAGACTTGGACAAAGTCTCTCTTCAACAGTGTTATTACTGACTCACTATCCATGATCATTTCTTTCACCAGTATGCTAAGAAACCTGAGAGTTGATCATTTTCTCAGTCAGCAGTAACAAAAAATCAATTAATTATTCACATTCACCTTTTCATTTCTGGTCTTTTACAATCAAAAGAATAAAAAGAGCTCAATTCACAAAACCTACATTTGACAGCCAGGTAAAGAGAGGTGTTCATCACGCCATAGCCATTGTCTCCAACGCAGGTGTAGATTCCCTCACTTGCAGGCGTCACGTCATCCAGGGAGAGGGAGAGGTTGGACGCCGTGTCCCACAGTAGCTCCTGCTCTCCGAAGATCCAGGAGATCCTGGGAGGCGGGTTACTGTCCACCTCACAGTGCAGCATCACAGAGCTGCCCTCCATCACCTCGGAGGAGACGTTGACCCACACAGAACGAGGAGAATCTGCAAGCGAAACCGAAAGCAGAGCATTTACATTCCCCACATTCAAACAAAAATGTTCTCCATTAAATGACAGATCATTTTTTAAAGACTTTTTACTTACACTTGATGTCAAGCGACACAAGCCTCTCGTAGACCAGTGTGGTGTTGGGGTAGTAGACCCTGCAGCCCAGAAGCTGCCCGTTGTGCATGGGTCTGGGGACGAAAGTGAGGGTGCTGGACAGCACAGCTGTGTTGCTCTCCTGCAGGTAGTCGGTGCTAAATTCAGGGTCGGGCAGGTAGTCTGTGTACATCCACTGGATTTCAGGTGTCATCTCGGGGCAGTTGTCGGGAGCGTAGCACGTCAGCTCCAGACTCTCGTCGCTGACGATCTCTTCTGGTATGTCAACGTTGGGCTGATCTACAAAACAAAAGAAAACCTGCCTTCAGCTTCTCCGCTGCGACAGCGTTTTTTTCAGTTAAACCAAATGAATCACTGACTCACCCAAAACTTTGAGTTCCGCAAAGTCTTGGTAGGTGTATATGTTAGCTCCACCGAGGTCTGCACGAAAGTAGTATCTCCCTGAGTGCTCTGCGCCAATGTTGCTGATGAGCAGAGTGCAGTTCCTCTGGTGCAAATCACCCAGCAGCTTGGTGCGGCCCTTGTAACTCTCGTGCACAACATCTGTGCGTGATTTGAAGACTACTGGGGGGAAGAGTTGAGGGTAGGGCTGGCCAAAATACCAGATACCATGAATCCCACGGTATGGCCTGATTCCAGACGGATACATGAAGGTGCATGGGATGACCACGCAGGAGTTTGTCATGGCTGAGATATCCCGAGGAACCCAAACGTTCCACTGACACCTGGCATCTGAGGGATGAGACAGAGGCTGTGTGAAACGTGTTGATGACTAAAATCTCCAAGTGCGTATGAAAAATAACAAATAATAACACACATCTTCATGATGATGACTTTCATAGTGGAAGAGTAAAACAACAATTGGGATTTAATACCATTGATGATCAGCAGCAGAGGTAAGAGCAGCTCCAAACACCACATGGTCCCTGTTCAATGCTGGACCATAGACCTCTGGAACAGAGCATGTTTCAGTGATCAGATACAGATACTAAGATAGAGCCGACCTTTATGATTCGCACAGTTTAATGTTCTCCAAATGTTACAACTTGTTTTTCTGGATTGTTTCTGTTGCGTAAAGCCACATAAGAACTGTCCAATTCATTCTTAGTGGCAATAAAACATACTTTACAAAAGCATGGATGGTGTAAAAGCCAGCTTATTACTGTTAATATAAAGTGCTTTAAGTGTAGTCAGGAGCAGACACATGTTTTCTCTATTCATTTTTTTTTCTTTTTCAAAAAGCTAAGAGTTAAAGGTGAACTACTCCAAGGTATTTGCACCCAAAACAAATTTGAGCTTACAGTAAGTCTCATAAGGTATTATTACCATCAAACAATTCCAATGTTCATGAGGTAATTTCACATTATTCATTATCAATCCTAAACTGCATTTGTAAACATAATGTGCCAAAGGTCGGTGGATTGTAGCTTTTAAAGGGTTACAGTTCAACCTTTCTTAAGACAATGAAAACTGAATTCCATAATTTCTGTCTTGTATTGTGTTGGACAAAAACAGAAACTAAGAGGGGCTTGTGGCTGTTTGTGTGACTGTTGTTTACCTGGAAATGCTGATGGTTGGAAACAAACAAATGTCTGCAGGTCAGCTTGTCGGGAGCTCCACCAGCAGGTGTTCACTCACACCCGGACGGCCTGACAGCCTTCTTCTCTGTGGTAAAACAACGGGGAAAAAAAGACTACAATTGACATCAGCATCATCGGGCGATGACATCGCTCGGCCCGCTGGCTCGCACAGAGCTGCAGTAAGTCACACAAACGCAGCGTCATTCGGCACCTGCCCGCTCCCCCTCAGTGGAGTCTCTTATTATGGACGCCATACGTAAGCCCCCACTCTCAATGACCTTCACTGTTGGCTGAGTGCTGACACGAAGCCAAACACCAGTCACCAAACATCATGTCATCAGTCCATTACCGATACTATTTGTGCTGCACTAGAGAGAAATCAAAGGATAAGGAGGGTCAGGAGCCTAGCCAACGTTATATCTTTGGCTAAGTCAGCCATTGGAGAGCTTCATGTTAAGCTTCAAATATCTTTGTAACACAAACACTATGATGATTTATGTCCCGATAATGCCAATCATAGCCCACCAGATCTGGGAAAAAGGGTTGAAAGTTCAGTATAATCTTTGTGTTGTGAGGAAAGAAAGGTTACATTACAGTCTCCTTTTAGGTCTTAAAGAAACTGGAGGTCTATCAAACTTTTCATCTGTTGCATTTTGCACACTTCAAAAAATTGGTGTATTTCTTGTTCTTATCAATTTAGATTCTATCTATGACATCACACACAATGAGTGGCTACAGTTATTACTCCTTAAAAGTGTAATATAAAATTTTATCAAAACATTAAAGGTCTTAAATACAGCTGGAGGAAGTCTAAAGAATGACATAAAGTAAATCAGGAGCCCCACCATTATTTTATCAATTGTAGCACTACTTTGTGACTTTTTCATTATATTTAGTCTTACTGGTGCAAACAAAGTTTGGAGTAATTCCACCTTTCCAAATCAGTCTGTAACTGCTTAAAACACTCCTTCAAACTGCAGCTATAGTGGTGTAATGATTTTATGTTCTCCTTTCGAGCATTGTAGAATTACTTGACGCAGAAGGAGGAGCAGAGGATTTTAGCCTCATATTGCAGCAGCCGGTGTGTACAGATGGCGAGATTGAGAGTGGATTGTGTTTCAGAGCTTCATGATGAACACAATTTGAAAAATCCACAACCAATATTAGCTTTGGTTATGGATTTAACATTGCCATGGATGCGTCATGCTGTTCATCATTCAGCTAAACAGGTGCAATTTTGTAGGTATTAGAACGTCAAATATAGTTTTTGGTAGCTTTTTCTTTCCCTATTTGCCTTATAACATGCAATATTTGGTCATTTGCCCCCTTGATAAACAAAAGAGTTGAATAATAATAATACATGTGGAGCAGCATTATTATCCTTTTAAAGGTCTATTTTCTGGAGAATCGAACTCGGTACTTTTGCTAATTTTTAGCTTCAAGTTTTTTCATTTCCTTAATCAAACTCTGATGGAAATAACTCTTTTTATTGTAAAATGCTCCATTATACCCTATGTATATTAGCTGCATGGTAACATTGACAGGTTAGTGATGCACAGGTGATGGTTTTACTTGCTACAGGCAACTGTTATAAATAAAGAGTGAAATTAGCTTATTTTTGCGTGCAAGGGTGCACACACCTCTCACCCAATGACAGCCTGGATAGGCTCCAACCCTAGTAGATAATTGGAAGCAGAATCTGTGTGCAGGTTTTTTGAAATGCCCAATTCTATCATCCTTGCTTAGCTTTCATCATGCAGATGTATATCACTTAAAAACATGTGCTTAGATGCTTGAAAGTATCCCCATAGATATTTTTTAACCTTAAAGCAGTCAGTGCTTCTGACTCAATTTGAAGTCCACCGAAGTTTGTTATGCTCATTTTTGGGCCTGGAACTGCCAAGTGGTGTGTGTGTGGGCTAACATTCAGCTGTCCTAAACTTAGGTTCCCTGCCACCCACCACAACACTTTGCTTTTCTGTCAGTTTACATGTTTGTGGGCTTTTGGTTTAATTTAATCTTTGCAGCCTCTCCAAGATAACAAAGTCACATGTATGGCTGCACATGTGCAGAGCTCATTTAAAGATCTGTTGTGTTTGACAGTGGTGTTGTTTCTCACAACTGTAGGGGGAGCCAAATATCAATCGGAAAAAAAAATGCTCACAACCATCACAAATTGAACAGGCTACCTCTTGAGACCGTTTCGGTTCCAATTTTCTTTCTTTTTATTTTGCTGTGAGTCATGCCCAGCCATCTGTAAATGCAAGAAGAGCTGGAGGAGTGTGTCCAGGGAGAGAAGCAGGGCCTCAGCATCAGGCCGGGCCGCTGATTCCACCACTAACCCCAACAACAACGACCTCATTCATAAGGCGGACAAACGGCTGGCACAGAACACACAGCATACGTGTGCACACTTACAACACACACACACACACACGATGCACGCAGCAAACACTTGCCTCATACCAGCCTCTGCACCAGGCTCCTGCTGCCTCACAGCCCGGATGACTTCTTCTTCTTCTTCTTCTTCACGTTGCTTTTGTTTTCCCTGAGCTGGTCGTCTTGCTCAGAATCTCCGACCCCCCAACTCTATCTGAGACGGGGCAGAAACAGGGAGATAGAAAGAGATATTGGAGACAGGCAAAGAGAAGAGAGGAGTCTGTGTGCTCCGGTTTACATGGGTGGTGGGCAGATTTGACTATGCCTTCCGTCATATCTTTTTTTTTTTTTTTCCCTGTCATTTCTAGAGTTGTTGCTTGGCCCACTCGGAATTCCTGTGTACTATTCCGCCATTATCCTGAGGTGTCCGGTGCGTCTTCATCTCCATGCTCTGACCTCTGAGTGGGGATCTGGCCTCTCTGTGAGACCACAGCAAAGCATGTTCTAATGAGTAGAACTCTTTCATGCTGTTGGTGCCTGTGCGACAGATGACTCAGTACTGCTTTGAGTAAGACTGAGTTGGGGCATATGAAGTGTAGGAGGAACTTGTGAAAAGAAATGTATAGATGTTTTTTTTTTTTAACGGCATCTTTGACAAAAAAAAAGCTGGAATCACTCTTATAAAATTGTATAAATTTACAGCAGTCTTGAGGCGGATTTTAATCTCTGAAATAAAAAGTGTTTTGAAGGGATGATCATTGATCTTTCCAGCAGCACACAGATCTAATACTTTCCTCCAATGAGGAATGTCCGAAGGCGGGGAGGACAACTATGAAATCCACCTAGTTTACATATTATTACAACAAAGGCAACTTGTGTCTAAAGTGAGTGAGTTTTTTTTTTTACCCTCATTGTTACATATAGAGTGCGTCACCGTGTTTAAAAGCCATTAGACCATCGGCCGAGTGATGGCACCGAAGGAGCTGCTCATAACCTCAGGGGAATCCCTCTATAAAAAGCATGGAAAACAGCTGAAGAAAAGAATGCCACATTCATAATGCTCTGATGCTGTGCACAAACAGATATGCTGGATGCCATAACCCCCTACGCACGCGTGCAGCATAAGGCATGGCAACACACGTCTCAGTGTGGGGTGTGCAGATATGCGACTTTCCTTTGCACCCCCTCTTCGCTGGTTGTAAAATAAGCGTGCGCCATTGTCCTTCTGGGACTGCGGCCATTGTCTGTGCACTTACAATAAATGACAAGGGCAAAAAAATTCCAATAATCTGGTTTGGTGAAATGTCACCTCCTGTTTTTTTTCCCCCACTCTTATTTATGTCAAAGGTAGGGACAGTGAGAGTTTGTCATCTGGCTTTTCAAAGGACCCTTTTTTCTAATATCTGACACAATCAAACTACAGAACAATTTATTATACTAAATTTTACATCAGGGATGAAGATGCTGTCAAGACAATCCCTTGTGCCTAATCAGACATCGACACTTCTTATTAGTCATTCTGTGGCTTCTGATATTGCCATCACAAACAGTTGGCTGTGCCAAGAAGAACATTGTCATTGTGAGCATCGTCTACGGAACATGCACGCATGCATCACTGCAGCTCTTGGATGGAGGGAAGAAAGAATGGGAACCTTGTACGCTGAACACTGGCCATTGTGCGAGGGGACAAACCAGACAAACTGGAGGAATTTATCCAGAGCAGGCCCGCTCACAGATTGCGCTTTGCTGCCTGCCTGTGACGCGTGTTGATCCACCGCAAGTGAGGACTCCAACCGAAATACTCAGAGGAGCAGATGGTCTTAATACATGACCGCTCCCCCTCCCACACATGGTGTGCTGAGCTGCAATGAGCCAGCGAGCGGCGCGCACACACTCACAAACACATGATATAAACATAAAAAAAGGAGGTATGCCAACATTGAGTCACACAGGCTGTCCGAGGAACTGCAGAGCGGGTTGGCACAAAAGGATGCGCTTTTTGGGGATCAAAAAATAAAGGACGTTGCACTCGTAATGCACGTATCATTTCCTAATTTCAGTCATGGGCATACAATAAATAATCTTTATTCACTGATGCTTAAAAAGGAATGATTGAAGGATTTCAGAGGCGTTATGCTTCAACTCTGAAAGTGAGAAATTACACCTAAAATGACATTGGTGTTCGTCTAAAAAAAAAAAGGAGGATCATGTAGGGTTTGAACGAATTACAGCCCAAATAAAAACTTGTTTTAAATTCAAAACTGTTAATTGACACTGTGTTTTTGACCTGTAGGTTGGACTTGGCCTTTCCTCTTCCAAATCAAAACACCTGTCAAGTTCACATGTCAGCTTCATTGGGCCGATCGCTACCAGAGCAAAAGAGCAGGAGCACCGCTAGCTTATTGCACTCTTTCCTAACTGGCAAACGGAGTAAGCCTGGCAATCCCCATCTTAGTGGGCAGATGGTGAGCCACGGGCCCCCTGGCTCACAAGAGCACTCTCCCTTCCGGTTTGAACAAAAGGGGGCGACAAACTGAGCTGTCACCTGTTCAGCCACACAGGCAAATACAGTGTGTCTCCCTCCTAATGTTCTCGGATACCCTCCACTTGACTTGTAGTTAAAAACAGGGACAGTTAGCATAAACAGCTTGTGTGGATTTACTGAAATGGGAAGGGATGTGACACATGTTGGTGGAAACTCTCGGAGGTACTTTCTTAGAAGTGACAGTGGTTAAGATTTATCTACTGTTACACTGGGGAAAACTCTAAAAATAACTACCACTAAAGGTCTGAATCGATAGAGAAAAATGTATTTCACTAGTTTTTTCCTTCAAACATTTGTTTTACTCACTCTTGCCTTTTTCAATAAGTGGGCTATATATACCTGCAGGGATTAATAACCACTTTACTAAACCCTCCAAAAGGGTTAGGACAATATATGTCTTTAATTTTAATCTATAAGGCAAACTTGTAGTTAAATCACTCATAAAACTATTTTAAATTGTGCTGTCTTACCTGGTATCATAGTGCAGTTCAGATGTAGGAAGAAACTTGAGTAATTACAGCAAATGCTCAGTGCTAATAACACTGGCTGTGAAACCTGTCCACTAACAAACATCCGGGCTTTTAGCGGTCTCCACTGATGTCAGACACGTCCACTAAGGTGTGCATTCTTACACCTCATCATAAACACTTTTGGTAATCCAGGAATTACTCATCGCATTAGTTATGAGCAAGCACATGAAAACAACCGGACTGTTCGGAGTGATGAAATCAGATAGAGGGCCAGAATTGAACACCCCTGTCTCTGCTCAATGAAAAATCTAGTCAAGAGAAAAATGGAAACATGAAATAAACTGCTGCATCTCACCTGTTTAGTGACTGTAGCCAACCTCCAAATGTCCAGAGGCTCGTGTATGAGACGGGCCAGTGGTCGGACTTCTATGGCTCACATGCACGGTGTCACACCAGCAAGATCTCTCGCCACTCTCTGTACCAAGCCCCAAGAGTTGAGAATAAACTGCCCTCCCCAGCACCAGCACAGCCACCAGCATCACCCCCTCCCGTATGAAAATCGACCCCTTAATGTAGCAGCATTGTTCCAAAGCTGCGCCCCAAGGCGCAGCCATTCATAAATACACGGGGGGCCACAAAGGGCCACACTGTTCCAACTCTCCCTGACAAAAGCGGGTGAGGCTTTGAGCTCTGAGGCCTTTTCTTGGTTTGGGCTGGATTTAACTGAGGACTTTTGATCATTTAGGAGTGATGAGGAGTGTTTTTTTACGATGAAAAGTGTCAGTGCAAATAATTTAATCAATTCTGTGACATGAAAAAAGTAAAAAAAAGGACAGTAAAGAACATGAATAGAAAAGCACTGTGGACAGGTCACATCACGGGACAACACAGAGACAAACAAGACAGACAACCGCACACTCTCCCTGCTACAAGCAGTTTACAGATACCAGTTAACATGGTGGGAGGAAGTTGGATTACATAGAGAGAACCCACACATAAACAGAAAGGCCACCAGCCAGAATTCACTCTCAAAACTCTATTATTGTGATGGATGGATGGATGGATGGATGGATGGATGGATGGATGGATGGATAGATGGATAGATGGATAGATAGATAGTGTTATGACATCATCCCAGCCCTTATGTTGATTAAACAGCAATCATAGTGTCATTACAGGAATCCTTTGTCATCCACCTCAATGGGATGTGATTTTCCAAATGCAGCTTATGAACATAAAGACTCTGCCTCAGTCATGTCTTCTTTTCAAATAAAACCTCTCATTGTGTGTTCTCTGAAAGTCCTGTTTCAAGTACAGGTCAGGCTTTGCTGTACGTTTCAAGCCAGTGCGAACACAGAACAGCTGTGTGTGACGGTCATCTTCACTGCTGTCTGTGTGAAGGCCCTTCAGACTCCTTCTCGATCATCGGCACAGCCCACACACTCGACTGCTGTCACTCTGGAGCTCTTCTAAACACACCAATTTTGTTTCTAGCTCTATGGAGCTTATGTGATAACCAGTTCTCTTCATACTAAACTAGCAGGGCTGATCTAACATAATCAGCCCGATTCATACAAAGATGTGACGTGTGCATTTTGGTTTGGTTAAATGGACAGAATACATTGTTTTTATGCCGACATGGCGACGCCTATTGACACGGCAACCATCCAACAGCCCCTTTGCCTGAAATGTAACTCTTTCTCTTAAGTCTCTCTTAAGTCAACTGGTTGAGAATAATTCAAACACAGGTCAAAATCTGGAGAAAGAAAATCCCACACATCTTGAATTTCGAATGGAACATATTTCAAAATAGCTGCATCAACACTTTTCTTCTACAGCGCCATGTGTTTGGAAACTGAAAATGGCACATTTCATCTCTTCTGTTCAGTTTTGTATTTCATCACATCATCTGAATGTTAGCATGTTTGTCCCATCATCTCTATTTATCATTCAGTATTAATGACACCTGCGCAGATGTGCAATTTTAATGTTGAACTCCTTTCCATGCTTAATCTAAAGTAATGTGCCAACAACAATCTTAACTGCATGTTTTATTCTAAGTCCAGAGAAATTCTCTAGAAGTGCATGTTGCCATCAGACAGCAATCTGTGAACTCCCCTCCCACTTTATTTCTTAAGACTTTCCAGAATGGTCTGTTGACAGCTAATCCTGTCACTGAAAAATAATCTAATGGCGTATGAGATGATAGCCATGATTGACAAGCTGTTTGGTTAACTGCAGTTGCCCAATGCCATTTTTTAAAAAGTATTTTTTTGTCATCAGAATAAAACCAATCTAAAAAAGCAATACTTAGTTTCATAATTTCACCTATCAAAACTCTGCAGGAAACAGGGTTATATAGCCACAAAAAACTAACACAGGAGAGAATCTAAATGTCATTTACAATGTGCACACATTTGCTGTGACCATGACATGAAATCCAGAGACAAACCCCCCCCCCTCCTGATGAAACAGTAGCCATTGTCTCCAGAGGCCTTCTGGGACAGAACAGCTCAGCTGGAGCCTGACACCACACAACACTGGGAAGTCGATGTGCTCAGATAATTGTCTTTTAATCACAACAATCCCCTTTTCTCAACCCTCGTTCGTTTGTCTCTGTCTCTTGTTTAGCCGTTCTATCGCGGTTGTAACTTTTGCAACAAATTTGACTCGTCATAAGCTGACTGAAGCCACTGGAGAAAATGCAACTGGATCTTAAGTATCATCTCATACAAAGAAATGTTCTGAGGATCAACTTGCTTTTTAGGGCAGAAAATATGACTGATTCCCCACCAAAATCTAATAAAATCCAACTGTTAAACTTGTGGTCAGATTAAAACAGAGAAACAAACCTCAAGCAGCAACTGTCCAAACAACAATCATTTATTTTTCCAAGAACAATATAAAGAATTTATGAGGAAATTCAGAGAGCATACAAGCTCAACCTGAGTTTTGTTGGTCTGTTCAAAGCGGTTAGTTCCATTTAGATTTTCACTGTTGTGACTTCCAGACTGCTATTGCACAATATTTGTGATCCAAAGTTCATAAAACAGGTTAGTATGGGAATAAAGTCCCCCAACTAGGGGCAGAGCTCTAAGAGTTAAGCTTGGTTTAACCTATGCCATAATGATTCGTTACATTATTTGATATGCCAAGAAATAGATCTATTCTCTTGTCTGTCTGTTTACATGTGTACACATCAGATATGATTAGTACTTCTTCCCTCGCGATTTATTGCGCCTACAATAAACGTAACTATTTAGTTATTAGGCCTTATGTGCACACTATATCCATCTTTAACATGAAGAGAAGTAACATCTGTATCATATGCTGCTGCCAGGTGGACAATGAAGCCGTTTAACATTCAAATACAGTCCGGCACAGAATTAACAACAGCTCACCATTAATGGTTTAAACACATCAAAGCGTGCTTTTGCAGCATTATGGGTCTACTGATGGTTGGGAGGGGAGAGTGGGCGGATGACGGGGGTTGTACTGAGCATATACGAGTGACAGAACAGCAAACTGAGAAAGGACCTATTGTCCCTCGACTCAGTAAAGTGGACAGTGGACGCCATTTGTGAAAATTTAAAGTAGGAGAAATGAAAACGTTTTGTGTTTTATTGTTCCACTTTGCTTTTTTAAACGAACCACATCATTTTACGCTGTACACATGTATTATTGCTGCATGTGCTCCTCACTTCATGTTTCAAATAAATAGTGCATTAAATGCAAGGGCTGCTCAGTGTAAGGTCATTATAAGGCAAAACATTTTTTAAAAAGCCTGTGTGGACCTCAGAGAGACTTATTTATATTTAGCTTTTTAGTAGGAAAAACTAAATTTCATAATTTTGTTGGATAAAAACGTTCCATCATGGGCAGAAGGTTAAATAAATAACAATTAAATGACATGTTTTAATGAGAGATGACTGACTGCATCAGGGGTTTAGATCCACAGCTCTGACATGCTGCTGCCACTAAATTACATATTTTAATTCTTTATTCCCAAAGGGGTACTTATCTCAGTATTGTCCTACTTGGCCCAAGTTCACACATTGTGCTCCAACTGTGACGGACAAGCCTGGATTTTCAGAGGCTTGACGTGCGGTTTTCTGTTTCTATTTATTTAGTCTCTAGAGGCAGCATTAAAGACTGATTGAACACAACAGACTCTGCTAGCAGGAAGTGCCAAACTTTGTAACTGGATGAAATTATTACTTGGCTAAATGGTGATTAAATATTAACTAAATATCAACATATGTGAGATACGTTATGTGCTAAAATCAAATACGGCAGATCAGATCATCCTTTTTACACATTACAGTCAGCTGAAAGACAGTAAACAAAGGCAAAAATGCCAAATACGAGTAAACACCCAAAAATAATGTGTAAAAAAAAAGATCTGTAGAGCTCTATGGATGCTCAACCATCACCATCACCTACACTACATGCAATGAGTTGTTTCCCTCTCTTTCGCAACAAAATTGCCTAAATTTATGAGAAGAAAGATATTTTAATGCAGTCTTTTTTTTTTAGCAGTGAGTCAGACTGAGTCATTCACACAGGCATTTTCAGTCATTTTACATCAGGGAAACCAACAGTAGGAAATAAAAAGTGAAATTTAGAAAACAGCACAGCTCTTACCTTATCAGCTGATCTGAAGCCAGTGAGAAGCAGAGTCGTCCTCTCTCCTTCAGCATTTGCCTCTCTGTTCTCCCTCCTCCCTCCTCTCTTACACGCGCTCTGTGTAAGCAGATTGGCTATTTGGCATCCTAACCTGTGATATTTTTTCTGGGAAGAGTTTCAGTGATTTTGCTTCAATTCTATAGCAATGGTTTGCTCATCGTGTAAGTTGTAGTTACATATATCCGAATCGTAGCAAGAACTTCCAGGGTGCAGAACACAGCAGCCTCACACAATGAAAGCAGAAAAAATGATAGGTCAAATGTCAAGGCGGGATGTAAAGAAGCCAGTTGGAGTCGAAAACTGAAGGCCCATTTTGTGATTATCACTGCACAGTAAAACTACGTGAGCCAGAATATGGTTAAAACAAATAGAATGATGCATGAGATGTCACCGTTTAAAAAGGCTCATGGTTTAAACTCTAAGATGGTGTTCTACAATGATAAAGCAATGATAAAGGTTTTTCAAAAGGTGCTTTTTAATGTGAATCACGTAATTTATCTCCACCTGCATTTAAAACCACCCGCTTTAAGACAGCCAGAACAAAATAGTTCATCTAATTCACATGAACCTTACACCGCCTCTGACATATGACAAATTATAGCCAACAAGCTCTCAAAGTTTGTTATATATGAATAATTATAGGTCGTAATTTATATTGTTGGTATGAATGTTTTGTTTTGCCTCACGTGACAACAGTTAATGCACACTCTGGAAATTGTACTTGTTTCTAATGGATCACACCAAACAGAGTAACTCGTCCTTTACATATGAAATTATTCTCTATTTATTCACATGTACACGTAGCCATACACTCAACAGTAAAACTGAGGACACGACAGAAATTAAACATGTAAAATATCTTGACAAAACGTTTCTGCTTTAAATCTTTGTTAAGCCTAAACTTTTAATAGATTCCGATAGACTTAAGGCAGAGATGAATGCCTTTGGAATTTCTGGAGCTGTTTTTGTCTGGAGCGGTTTGTGTTGCACTGTATGGTATTTCCTGTTTTTGTGTCCATCTTTTAAGTATAAAATCTTATGGAAAGACAAGTAAACTTTCACTATCCAAATAATTATCCATAAAAATCTTATTTTTTTCCATTTCTAAATACAAAAGCAATGCAAAATGTACAAAACGGATATGGTCAAAGTTTGCATCATTATCTAGAAAAACTAAGAAGATGGTGACATCTAGTGGTGAAACACTCAACTAAAGTCCAATAAATGGCCTGGAAATTAGTCTTTTATTGTAAAATCATCATTAACACTTGCACTGCAAAGGCTATTACTTCTCAGTTGTACAGCATGCTGAGATAAAACACGCAAATAGAAAAGACAATAAAATCTATAATGAGTAATCTGCTGGAAATGTCTATAGAGTGAGCATACCAAGATGACTAAAAGCAAAAAGAAAAGATAAAACAGATTAATTTAAATGTTCATAGTTTCTTTAACAAAATACAACAAGTAAACAGACAAGTAAAAAACAAAAAGACCCCAACAGAACTTCATCAGGACCTGTATCAGTTTAGTAAAACTATATAATAGTGAACATTCAAACCTGATAAGACTATGTTAAGTGTTAATTAATATGACTTTACGCCTACAAACAAAACTCTGTACACTTTAAGGCACTTGTGGCAGCCACAATTTTTCATGAATGGAAAGGCACACAAACTTTCATCGGAGCGGTTACACTTGTTTAAAAAAAGTTTATAATTTCATCTCAAAATGAAGCACAAAAATCAGCACTCTGTTCAATTCTGCGCGTTAGTAGATTGTTAGTAGATTGCGTAATATTTACAGTCTTGGAAAAAGGCAACTTTCAGTTCTTGTAGCGCTAAGAGCTGCATCCAACATCACGCTGGCTTTTTTTGGTTTGTTTCCTTACACGACCAGGCTCTCTCGGCTCACGGCTCCATTCTGCAAGACATGCAAAAGACAAGTCCAAAGATTTAACTCGATTACAGAGTGTGAGAGTGAGAAAAAAACAAAACAGTCTTGTTAGAAACTGCTACTTGAGGTCAGCCTGAAACACCAGGGGAGGATTTCTGTCATCTGGGACTTGCCTTGCGGAGGTTGCTCTTCTTTGAGGACGACACGCTTTCGTTGTCGCTGTATGGGGGGGGCATCGGAGGTGGGTAGTCATCTCGGCGACCGGCGTACCCAGATGGGGGGCTCACTGGGAGAGGGGGGGGCCCGCGTGGCGCCCTCCCTCGATCCGAGCGCTCGCTGTCGCTGTCCAGCCGCTCGCGGCTGCGCGCCCTCTGCTGCTCGCCCAGCCTCTTCCTCTCCATGGCTTCTCGCAGGAAGCTGTCGTCGTAATCGTCCCGCCCCCCCCTGCCGCCGCCGCCGTTCCTGCGGTTCCGCTCCAGCTCCATCAGGTCGTCGCGGCTGTGGCTGCGGCGCCCTGCCAGGCCGCCGTAGGCCCCTCCCTCTCTTCTGCCGCGGTCGTCGGGGGAGTGGTCCCGGCGTCTGCGCTCGTCGTAGTTTCGGTCGTAGCCGCCGCGAGCGCTGCTGCTCCACTCGCTGTCAGAGCTGGGGGAGGGGGGGGGGGGGCACAAAGCAGAACGCGGAGGCCGAATAAATCCCATTTTTGCAACGACACACGACTGATTCTGGTCCAGTAAAGTCGAAGATAGAAGATGTTCCCGTGTCGTCAGGCCCAGCGTAACTAAGGACCCACTGTTTAGCCCCTAGAACAGGGGTGTTACAGAGAGCAAAATGGGGCTGTTTCAGAGGTGAACAAGATGGTGGAATTTCACAAATCTTTGAGATATAAAACAAATGGTGATGTGACTTCAGAAAAAAAAAAAGTGACAACAATTAGATTTTATTTAAAATCATTAAAAAAATCAATTTTGAAACAAAAAAATCAGGATCTTTCATGTGATTTCGATTCCACTTAATTCATCAATTTCTTTAAACAACCATGCCCACTCACTCCCAATGGCTACCTCTCTGAGGTGGGGGCTTTTGTCAGTTAATCAGGTGCGTGAACCATATTACCAGCAGACGCTTAATCACTGAAACTCTCAGTGTGAGTCACACAAGTTGGAAGCGCCTCGCCCCTTTCAAATGCCGGTGAGCTGTTGTGCGAGCGCCGTTGTTATTTTTATTTGCATGTGTTTTGAGGTAACTGGGTGCATCTGTTTTCACCGTGACATGAAGGGAAATGAGGGGTTTAAATGATATGTTTAACTTATTTGACATTTAAAAATATGTGAAAGGGCTTTGATACTTCCACTCAGGAGCAAAAGTATCAAAGCAGTCAGTTGTGGCCTGATCAAAGGGAAGGTGTGAACATCTGAAAGGTGGTTTTGGAAGTGTAAAGTGCTGATTTGGGTAATAATCACAACTGGCTTTGCTCCGTGGTGAGACTCACCCCCTCCTGCCTCTGGGCTCATCTGGACGGCGGTGGGGTGGATAGTCGTCTCTCTGGCCTCTGCGCCCGATGTCATCCAGGTTGTCCATGGAGCGGGCGCGGGCCCGATCCCCCATGTAGCCCCCGCCGCGGCGGGGGTAGTCGTCCCGGCGGTAGCCTTGCTGAGACACGCTGCTGATGGTGCTCATGGCTTCATCCCTGTCGTAGACGGTGGCCAGAGGCGGAGGCTGAGAGCGGCCCCCTCGCCCCCGAGGATCCAGGCCGTCGTGCAATGAGCTGACCTCACTCATGTTGTCCACTGAGGAAAGCCAAAGACGAGATAAACCCATCGCGTTAAACGGTGTGGATGTCTAATCATTGATGTCTCTCAGAAAAAAAAAAACTACTTTTAACTACTTTTTAAAAATACTTTATTTGGTTATTCACAAACTCACTTCCAAAATGAAAAAAGGCTGGAAGTTGACAAAAGCTTTTAACCACTGTTTAGAGAAACTCAAAGTTTATAAAAAATATAATAACAGATAATAATAATAATAGATTATATAAGACAACAACTTTGATAACTGATACAAGTTTGCTCTTCTCCTAGAAGAAAAGTGGGTGGCCATGTACAGGGTTCTGTTTGACGGTAACTACTGTTTGAGTCATATTTGCAACGCATTAAGAGTTAAATTAGGTCATTTCCTTTACAGGAGGTTCCTACCGAGCTTTATTTAGAATCAATATGTGTAATTCATAAAACTGCAAAGGTGAAATCAATACCACATTTTAGAGTAGCTTCTGCTGACAAGCGCTGCAAACTAAAACAAAAAAGTCCACAATAAGTAATTAATTATGCAAACGGAGTTAAAAAAACATTCCAAAATGGTCAAAATAATTCAGTAAAATAACTAAGAAAATTAAAAAAACTTCTTTAACAACAGCAAACTCTTCTAAGACCTGTAATGGGAAGTGGTTCCATAATTTAGTTTAGGACACACTTCATTTATTGTCGTGGAGACCACCTGAGAGATGTAATGGGGGTTTCCAATCAGTAACTACTCTGCTCGACTTGACTGTACTCTGATGTTATTTTAAAAACATTGTTTTTGATTTGAAAACTTTCGATTTCAGTGACTGTTGTTGACGTTCTTATTTGTTAAATTGTGTTGATGCGAGTAGAGTCAAAGTAGAACTGAGTAGGTAAGACATGACGGGAGAAAATACATTCAAATTAGGGAGATGTGCTTCATTGGTATTTTGATATGAAAAAATAATAAGCTTGAGGTTTATGTACTTTTTGCTTCTGGGAATCAGAAATACAAGCATGACGGACAGGAAGTGTTAAGTCACTCACATCGGTTGTAGTTGGCAGGTTTGGATGGGTCTAACGTTGCAAGTTCCTTCTCCAAATAGTAAATGGCACGTGTGGCATTCCCATCCGGATCCACCTGAATTCGATACCCACTGCGAGCTGGGAGAGGGAGATGGAGGCATCTTCAAATGACCAAACCATATTCATAAAGACAGTCTCTGTACAAAAAGATTTCAAATTGAATTTCTTTAACTTTATAATGTGCCGGTTATTTTCAGAATTCAATTTAGAAAAATGACCAAAGCACTCTAAAAAAAAATTCTGGAGAAAGAATGTGATTAAGCATGTTGTATAGGCAGTTAAAACTCAGATCCAACCTTTACAATTTAGCACCTACAACTTTATAGCCACATTTAAAGACTCCCCTAAAAATATACACTTTTCCAAATCCTTGTGTTTTTCTTGTTGGTGATGTTGCTTTGTCTACCATCTAATGGTTTGAAACTGATTGTAGAGAATGACATTTTAAAACAAGAGATTTTGTCATTTCAATGTTTCTATTCCATGCTTTTCTGTATTTTATAACAAGTGTTTCATTTTCATTGCTGAGAGAGGGCAAACATGAGACACAGGGTTTCCAATTTCAACACGCCCGATTAGTTCCTCTAATAAGGTGGGGGATGCGATTCAGTATAACAAAAACAAAGCAACAGTTACTCACTGTGGTCTCCTCCACCATCCTGATCATGCAGCAAAGGCACCTGGGATCCCTGTCCCACTGCGAAGACAACAAAGCAATGAAACAGTGGATTCATTTTCAAACTCCCAAACTGCTTTGTTTCTGCTCAACGCAGCCTGCGAGCTGCTACATAAAAACCCAGCAACATTCAGGAGAAAAAAAAAAAGAAGCATGAAGACAAACCCTACCAGAGCTGGCACCATCGTAGTCACGTCCGTAGCCATTGTGGGGAGGGGCCGGTCCGGCTCCGTTGGGAAGAGGAAGCATGGGCATGGCGGGCTGGTTGCCTTGTTGGCCAACATACATTGGCTGTGCATACAAACTGGGAGCATAGAGGGTGGGGGCGTAGTGGCTCGGCACACCTTTCTTCACTGCTTTTCCTGCCTCATACACTGCAACAAAAAAAAAAACAAAAAAAAAAAAGTTACAGACAGAAACAAGACCGAAGGCCTGTTTAGGCCACCCATTTTTCAAAAAGAAAGAAAAAATAATTATACAGATGATCTGACCACAATGCTAAAAGTGGCCTCTGCTGCAGCAGTGCCACTTAAACTGGTTGTAGTCTTTCTTTGAGTTTTTTCAAGCACCAAACAAATAGATGTGTCCCCTCTGAGCTGGAATGGTTTAATCTTAACCCTTTTGAAGATTATATGACCTAAACCTTCACTGTATTCTAACTGAAGATGGTTGTTGGTTTCAGTGTAACTGAAACTAAGGCTTATAGCACCACAACATAGCCTGCTGTTTCCATGTACATATTGCTAAACAAAAAAAAAAAACTTTAGTGAATCATTATTAGCTAAATCAAAAGTCTATTTGTAATACTCAACAGATCTACAGGTTTGTAGGGACAGTTTCCATCTGGCAAGCATTAGATAAGCAGTCAAATGAGGGGAGACTGCACACGCTCTAATAAATACTTACAGGCTCGTGGACAGCAGCACTTCTCAGGACAGCAGGGGCAGCTGACGTAGCAGCAGCACGTGTGCGGACAACACTGACACCAGCAGATCCCAATCAGGAGCAGCAGAAGAAGGAAGCCCAGAACCACCAGAACCACCAGGAGCCAATCTGTGGGAACCAGCGGGGGGACACTTTAAAACCATTTTTTTCATCTGAAAAAATGTGCTTTGCTCCCACATAACATTTTTTTTCGACTCAACCCCAAAATAACTCACAAAGATCATATGCTCAAACATTTTTTGAAGTAAAATATTAAAATGATCCCATTTTACTGCATCAGGTTTCTGTTACTTGTCTAATAAAATCAGACTTAATAAATCACTCTTTTTCAGTTTTCATTCACTCTCTGGAAAAAAAAATATTGTTAAAAAGAAGAAGAATAAGAACAAGGAAAAAAAGAAGAAGTAATATGCTATTAAAGTAAGTGAGCCTTTGGATTGGTTGTTCTATGATCACATGAAGAAAACATGCTAGAGGCTTTTAAGAGTAGTGTCCTTTTTTTTCTGTGAAACTGGAAGAGCAGGTTCACTCTTCATGTTAGTTCAGGCTGCACATACCATAAAAAGAGGGCCAGCCAGACCATAAGCTCAAAAGAATAAATATAAAAACTAAGCATCATCTGGTTGTGTGTGTGTTTGTGTGTGGTAGAGAGCTAAAGAAGAAAGTTTCACAGATTGAGCTACAGCTGGATGTTTGTAGCTGGACTTAAAGCCTGGGCTTCCTTCACAACTGAAATGAATACAACCCCTTTTGCCTTCTACATGGGACAGAAACTCAACTAAATCAAGTGGCATGTACTACCTTCCATAACCAGTAAGTCAATGCCAGGCAGGAGGTCAGTAGTATTTGACTTTCTCTCTGTGAAAGAAAGATAAAGCCACAATTACTTTAGAGTGGTATTTGTCTAGATTTCCTGCCTACTACCTTTACTTTAAAATACTTCTAGGGAACTCAGTTTGCGGCCTGCATTCTTCCCCATAATTCTGCCCCGCATGTATGAATCAGCCATTTCCAAAACACGGACAAGAGATCTGTACATATTTCTACATATGCGTCTGAGAGTGGGCTGGACAGAGAGGGAAAAAAGGGAAGGAAATAGGGAAGTGTGTGTGCAAAGAGCAACACGACAAACTCACCCAGAACAATCAGCTCGGTGTAATCTTCGCTGTTTCCTGAAAGATCCTGGGACGAGACGACGGAGCAAACATAAACTCCGCTGTCTCCCCACGCTGTCTGCGCTATGTTCAGGTCTGCTTCTGTAAGGAACATTTTTAAATACCTTTAATCCAATTCTAACCCTTCCTGAGACATTTTGATAACATATAACATCATAATATTAAGTGCAGGTCTGTTGCCGTGGAGGGTGCCACTTCAGGCAGCTTCAAAGTTTGCTTAAAAAGTTTGTTTGTTGTTTATGATTTTGGTTACATTCAAAATCATAAACAGGATTTAAGTTTTATGTTAGATGAGTGGTTGTAAAGAACCTACGCCTCAAATTTCAAAATAACTCTGTGCTGCACTTCACACAGCCACCCTGAGTGCATGTAATGGTGGTAGTGGAGCAGATTATGGAAGAGCTGTTCAATACACGACTAGTGGGGACTTGACCTGCTGCCTAATGGCCGAATGAGATAGATTTCATTTGAATCGTCTTATTTCTGGATATTCACGAAGAGCGGGGTTGGCCTTTCTTATGTGTCCCCATCATAGGTACACTTTGTGTTATGTTACTTACCTGTGGTATCTAAATGTGTACAGCTTTAAAGGTGATGATGAATTGAAAACAGCATCAAAATAGCAAATTCCCTTTTTTTTTTTAAATTGGATTCCCTGAGAACTTTTTGGAACTCTGGTACACAGCATGACAGAGTTTTCAATTAAATGTCCCTCTCCTGTGATCATGATGAAATGAAAAGCTAATCTAATGAAATATATATATATATATTTTGCATCACAAAACTTTATTTCAAGATTTTTTTATTTTATTTTATTTTTTTAATCGGTCAGAGTTCTGCTCATATACTGTTAAGCTAAAAACCCATGCCAACACTATTGTAGGCACAGCATAAACATGCAAGAGGAACCCCTTCCAACATTTCTGGTTGTGTTTGTCCAGTTTTTAGAATCTCAATTTCTTATAATTTCAGTCACATATTGAACTTCTTCCATGCACCTTTGTGGTTATAATAACAAAATAATTACTTTTTTCAATTGTCAGGTAAATATGCTTACTGTGATTAGATATCCTGTCTTTGTTCTATAGCTTTAAAGTAATCAAACAATAAAGTATGAACATCAATGATTATCTCAGACTATTTTCCCCCTCATAGCATGCCATCTGTGTATAGTTTGACATCAATTCACTTTTGGAAAGTAAGAGTGAGCAATGATTTTATCATTTTAACACTCTTTAAATCAACTCACTGCTGTTGACGCTGATCTTGCGACCCTGGTATTCTTTGCCGAGGGTCACGGCTTCACCCTGCTTTGAGGCCACTATGCGGACCGTCCTTTGGCTGTCGGCACATTCAATGTTGGGGTCATAGTTTGGGTTGGCGTTAGCCAGGGCGTTCGCTGCACTGCTGGGATTGAGTGCAGCCTGAATCGGGTCCCGGCAGTATGATTTGTACTTCCAGGTGACAACGGGAGGCTGAGAGGCACTCGTCTGAAAGTCACAGTTGAGGGTGACGGGCTGGAAGAGGATGACAACATACCTCTTGGTTCTACACTGAACTGAAATGCCATGGGTGGACTCTAGAAAGTATGACAGAAACATAGAAACGTAGTTAGGTGAAGGTATATTAGTATAGTATCCACAGAGGATGAAAACAAGCATTTAACAAGTAGTCATTTTTGTACCACTGGCAAAGATTTCTTGGCAGTCTGGAATATTTAAGGTGTGGCACATGATACACACCGTTTCTTCACTGCTAGTGTTGTTCAGTGTGTCAGATGAGTCAATTCAGATCTGGGCCATGCTCTCAGGCTGATAATTTTATTAGATGAAATTGTCTATGTTGTAAGAAAGGAGGAATTCACCACACTTCAGTGTGGTAACATATCAATGCCTCAGACATTTGTTCAGTGACCGAAAACAAAAACAAAAAATAGTGCCTAGTTAAAAGATCAATCAGTCTGGTATTTCATATTTCTTCGAACAACAGACATTTTCAAGATATCACAAAACAGCCCAGTTCAAAATTGTTTTTTAAAATACGTTTGGTATTCATTTCAACACCAGCTAATTATAAGTCGTGCTCAAAGGAAGCAAATAGAACATTTGAAAAATGCTTCAGAATTTATTGTTAAATAAATCTATGAAGGTAGTTTTAGTATAGGAAATGGGAAAACCTCCCATTTCCAAATGTTTGGTTGAGGTATAAAAATAAATAAATAAATAGAGAAGCCCGTTTTCCACATGACTGTCACCACAACATTCTATCAAAAAGGTAAAAACTGTTAAATGTTAAACATATAACGTTAAAATAGCATTTAGAGACCATTCTTTAATTTTGTTCCATGTTTTATTTGTGAGATAACTCGTGAAAAATCATATTTCGTGTTTAACTATTAAACATTTTTTCAAACAAGATTTCGCCGCAGGAAATGACCTATTAAGGAGATAGCTATAAAACTATAAAATATACATTTGTGGATTCAATATAGACATAATTTTTAATGAACACTGGGCGGAAAAAGTATAAGACTAATGGAACAATGGACAAAACATGCCAAATAAATGCGTAACAAACATGTAGGCTACGGAGGCGGTCAACACCAATGGAGTTTTCACGGAAGAGGCCCACCCTTTCTGGTGGAAAACAGGCCACCTTACCTGTCGCTAAAAAAACAGCGATGATCACGGTCCAAAACATTTTCAATCCAGATTCCTTGCTCTCACTAACGACCTAACTGTTAATTGTACAACTAATACTGCCCTAAAAATGTAATTCGGGCATAACTTTGAACGCAGCTGCTTTCTCTAATCAGGTATCGCCAGCACCATTTTGAGTTTTGGTTGGTGGGGAGGAGGAATCACTTGAATGCCTCACTGGCACAGTCAACAGGTGAACTTTGAAAAAGGGTTTGCGAAACGCAGGGGTGTTAAATTGTTTGAGGGTGGTATTTTTTAAGATATTGGTTATTCACACTTTCAGAGCCTCTGTCAACTATGGAAAAGAAAATATTTTCTCGCAAAAATTGTTTCCTTGCTTACTTTATCTCTTTATAGTGATAATTTGGCTACGTGTACCTGTCCGTCTTATACCCCCAGTTGGTACGATCCAGATAATACTGCTGTCACAAACACTGTTACTGTTTAACACTGTGGTTAAAAAAAAAGAAGAAAGAAAAAAAAAATCGCTGGTATCAGGTTCCCTAAATGGATGAGTTTTGCTTGGCATACACTTTTGTAAGTTTCGTGCAAATAGGCCTATGCGTTTTTGTTGCCCATGATGTGCTATGAAACTTTTCATATCAGTGTAATCTTCCAAGAAAGTCTGACTCGAATGTTTCGCGGGAGCCAGCCATTTTCAGCACCTAAACACTGCTCACATTAGTTAGACATTATGTGTGTTAGCAGCCTGCAACGCTTTACGTCGAAAATCTGTGAGTCATACAGATATTTGCCAAGAGTAGGGAAGGCCCCTAAGCAGAGCCACAAACTTCCTCTTGGTGTTTTTGCTTAATTGCTGCCCACTTGAATTACATTTTAGCAGTATTCCATTTTGATAAAGCTGTTTAAATACTTTTTTAGGAAACGCATCGAAATTGAAAAATGATCATTGCTTCATTAGATAACTGTTAACATTAAATCATGAATACGATTAAACATCTTTGAGTTGTTTCTTAGAAAATATTCTTAGAAAAAGATGTGTGTTTGTGTGTATTTCAAATATAAACTTTGAAATACTATGTAAGAATAAAAAAAATTCGATTAAACATATGTTAAAAGCATTTTTAATATGTTAATTAGCAACCATGTTTATCAAAGCTGAAAGCTATTCAATTAATAAAGCAAAGCAATCAATATAACAGCAAGCAATAATTTGACTGTCAGTTCATGCAAATTCAGTGGTGTGGTGGTGCTTGTATTTGGGTATCACACATAATTTTGGACAATTTAGTGTCACTAATGATCCTAACATGCTTGTTGTTGGACTGTGAGGGAAAGCCAGTTTGTCCAGAGAAAACATGCAAACACCACGCAGAAAAGCTGAGGATTCAAATTGGAAACCTTACCACCATGTCACCCTGGGCATAACTTATTTCTAAAAGAATAAGTGTATATGCTCTGTATACCCCCATATACCAGACACAATACCACTGTATAGCGTTTAACACAAATTGAAAGAAAGAAGCTTGGGTGGACGGGTGCTGCACGATGACTTTGCTGTATTCTTCAGTGCCACCAATTTTTAAACCTATTTCCAGATGGAGAAAAAAAAAAGGAAATGCATGTCATTAAGTGTAATCACACTCTCAATGCAGTCATAATGTGGTTTCATATTCAATTGTAAAGTAAGAAAATTGTCAGACTTAGTCGACATTTTCAATAAAAATACAGAAATGATGAGAAATTAAAACATTAAACAAGTGTACCAACCTGCTGCAAAAACAGCTGAAAGATAAAAAAGAAGAACAAATTAAATCAATGTAAATTCAAATATTTAATTATTTTATTGGAACTTGTTAGTTTATTTCTAAATGCATGGAAACTAGAAAAATATATTTTCTTTAAACATTAATGCAGACAATTGAAGATAGACCTGACACCTGGGTGAAGAAAGCGTGAAATGTGGTTTTCTGTCTAATAATACTTACAGTTGAGATCAGCAGTAGTACAAGCAGAATCCAGCTGGGAACTGGAAATTAAAACATGCAGTTTTCACGGTTGAACATTTCACATGATCATTATTAACATCAACATGACAAATCCCAGCTGTATTATTTTTGGGCCTCCAAAGACAGAGCTGCGATTGACCCGGGTCATAGTTCTGACTGATTAGCTGTCAATAAAAAATATTATGCCAATAAATATCATAATGATTTTAAGATATTTTCTTTTAAGTTAAGCAATCTACTGGGAGTGAAACACATACTTCATATAGTTCTACTGTAGGGTTGATCATAATTGTTGGAAATACTGTTTTTAAAAACTAACTAAATGTAGAACATCTCTGCTAATTTCTGATAACTTCAGACTGTGAACTATCACTGGATGAAAGATTGCATCGTAATCAAAAGCTAATCAAAATAGGTAGATTTTATTGGTCTAAACATGCTTTTCTCCTAGTCTGTGACCCTGACTCATATCAGAATAACTGGCTGACCCGGGAATATATGGCGGTTCGAAAGTGCTGAAGGAGTCCAGATCAACTCAGTTTAAGGCCTGAAATTGATGGTGTGTATTGGCCTCATCTGCTTATTGATCACATAATGGTGGATGCTGTTTTTAACTCATGACAGCACAGATCTAACCAGATAACATGACAAAAGCCGTTTAGCTATATAAACCCTAATGAATGTATTGCTTGTTGAATGATCACAGAGACTTACTGGTGCCTCTAGTTGCTTGATTTCTCAGATGAAACATCTTCTGGCAATCAGCTGTAGAAATTAAGAAAAATTAAAAGTATGTTACAAATAATATTACAGCTAAAAACACACTGATGAACATAATTAGTTCTAAAATGTTATGATTGCACAACTTATTTATGAGACAAAGTTGTTGCAAAGTCTGGTGGACAGAGAGCAAAACTTGTCCTTGGCTTAGTTACATTGTTAACAGACAGGATGAAAAAGCTACTCTTTCTACAAGTGTTCATTGTTGTAAAAACTAAGTAAGATTTTTTTTAATGAATTAAATCTCACTATTGAAATAAATAGTTTAACAAAAGGGACATTGTTGAAACCAGACGTAAATCTAAAACAGATTCATTTTTAACACATACACTTAGGGAAATTCTCCAGTGGTGCAGTTGTGTTGTCCTCTGCTTCAAAATGCTCGATGCTCTCCGAACAGTGGATCATCGTTGTAGTTTGGGAAATGCACACAATGCAGTGCTTACTGGGCAGACGGGTCTTGTCGCAAGATGGAAAGTCACTTCCGAGTTTTCTCTCGTAAAGTAGATTATCATTGTGCCATATTTTCTGGAGATTTGGGCACCTTTCCTTGTCTGAGCAGATAAAACAATTGCCTGCTGGCAAAGCAGGAAATAAAAGCACAAATGAGCATCTTAACAGATGTAAACAGCCGAATTAAACTTGGGTATAAAAACATGTGACTCGAAGTACAAACAGAAAGAACGTAATTATTAGCTTATTAATATAAAACATACCAGCAGATGCATCACAGACAGACACAAAGTGAGCTGTTACCATAATGCCAAGGAGCACTGGGAGACAAAAAAGAAAAATATACATATTACGGTATATGCAAAACAGCTATCCAGAGAAAAGGAGGGAACAGGGAACAGGAGTCACTTTGTAATTCTGCTGATGTGAATTACTGGAAATACTAATGTATTTTAAAATGTATGTCTAACATGCTTTCTCTTCAGAATAAATAAATTAAAATTGCCCTGATCTGTCAATATAATTTAATTAGTTTAATACTTTTTTAACCATTTAATTAAAAACATTTGTGATAACGTTTATCACAAATTATACTTTTAATTATTGATGGAATGAAAATGTGAAATCTTTAAACATGTCTAAATATCTTCATTAATGTAAGTATTACCTTTGGAATAGAACTTGTCCCTGTCAGAAGCATCTTTGTAAGCCCTGTGTTTCCTCTTGTAGCCTCTCTGGATTTTTTGTCCTGGACCACAGTTTGCTGGCTTCTTTGCTGGTTCCATCTCTGAGTCTTCTGTGATGCTGCTTCCCCTCCTTACCTTGTCTTTATCTGCGTAAGGCGGGGCTACCTTTTCAGCTAAACCTATCTCTTCTTTGCTGTTTTCTGCCTGTGGAACCTGCTCTGGCTTTGATGGGGTTTCCCATGCCTGAGCAAAAGCTTTTGGTTTAAAAAAAGCTTCCCCAATAGGCACCCTCGGTGTCTCAGATCTTTTCTTCATGTCTGGGATGTCATAGGTGTCCTGCTTGTCCTTTGGAATGGGTCTAACAAAAATCCCCTCCTCCGCTACAGACAATGCTGGTACCGCTATTGTTTCTCCATAGTAAATATGGGTTTTGTGATCCAGGTTGGTGGAGAGACCTTCATCACTGCAATATTAATTAGTATCACTTTAAGAAATAAAATTATATCATTATTATTGATAATAATGATAATAGTAATGATAATGATAATAATATCATTATATTGCTTAAAGTAGAATAATGCAAAGAAGACTTTAAAGAGAAAAGAGTGTACATACCAACTGCCATGTGGACATTCAACGCCTTCAGGATTAAAGAATAATGTAGTTACAAATAGTTTTTATGTACAAGCACACATGTAATTTACATGATTTGTTACGCTGCTTTAGCCAAATGTATTTTTGGAGCCCACATGTTAGACACAAATGCCGATGTGCAACAATGAGCTGTAGTTGGTCATAGTTGTGCTGTTGCATAAGTCACACATGCTTCTCATATTTTGGAGCAAAACAAGAAAAAAAAATGAATTGGTTTCACTGATGGGCTTTATTTAATGTGCTCTAAGATCGGTTGAAGATGATGACTTGGCAGTTTGTGAAAACTTCCTTGTACATCCTGTCAAAACCGGTTTCCTGGCCTCAAATGAATGAAAGTTACCACAATCAAAGTCCTTTTTTTCATTTTCACAGCTAAACATGAAATTTGAATGAAGATAACTTACTTAATGACTCAGAATCCACGAAATCCTCCGGTATGAACGCCATCTTGTTATCTGAGCAAAAGGCTACTGAAACTATACAGCCTTATCAAGGAAGTGTTCATCAGTTAAAGTTTGTTTATACACCACCTGGTGGACAGATGTTTTTAGAACGTTGTTACGTCTACAGAAGAAGGCTAAAAACATGGGATACAGAGTGGAATCTCTGTATTTGTTATAGAAAAGGAGGACCTGCACTGGCTTCGCCTAATACATGAGGGAGTTTTTTGTTCTTCTCATGAAAGTTGTTCATGACCTTCAGTTCAACTTCAACTCGACATAGAGTGTGTTTGTTAGGCCAAAGCCTCCTCTCACTCTAACTATAAAGGTCTCTTGATAAGACCCCTGTGTTATCTTGCTCAGCTCGTGTTCATAATTTAATCCCTACAGCTGCAGCCGTTCGACTCACTCTGCTGATTTCTCTGCTTCCTGTATGGCTGGCCAACGGCTCCCGTAAGAAACCAATACATAAAATCCAGGGTATCCCGGACACATCCGATAACACTCTATATATCAAAGGAGAATGGGAAATGGAGCTCAATGTCACTATAGAGGATGACAAGTGGGAGAATATATGCTCTGAATGTCATAAGGGGATTGCGAGCCAACTGTGGACGGAATTTGACTGGAAAGTAAAGATGAGGTTTTTTAGGACCCCTTTAAGAGTCAGTGTTTTTAATAACAAATGTAATAACAAGTGTTGGAAAGAATGTGGGATGGTTGGGGATATATAAAATATATAAATATATATACAATATGGGTATTAATTTACCTTTGGACCCTGTGTTGTTCTAATTGGACAACAAGGCAGAACAACATTTGACCAAAGACCAATGATATATTTTACATATCCTCTTGATGACTGCTAGGAAAATGATAACCATCCACTGGATGCAGCCCGACCCTCCCACAATATCTGAATGGATACAGAAAATTAAACCAAAATGATGTCCAAATGATGGAAAATATGACTGCTAGACTACAGTTGAAATTGCCTTTGTTTATAATGAGATGGACTCCTGTGACTCTATACATGGGTAGAAAGTGAATAGATAATGGAAAGATAGATATGCCCATGTAATCTATAGATATTATGTGATCCATGATCAAGATGTTTTTTTCCAGTCCAGCTGTCTGTAGGTTTGTCTTTCTTTTATTCTTTGTTTATGGTTTTGTTTGCTGATGTTGTTGTTGCTGCTTTGTGTGGTTATGTTTCCCTTTAAGTTATGTACTGGCAATAAAGTAAAAAAATAAAATAAAATACAGAGTATTTCAGCCAGAAAAATTGCTATTTACTCAGCAAAAAAAAAAAGGTCATCCTCAGTTTGATTTTATTCTTGAGGATTCCAAAGGGCAAAGGCCAGTAAAATTTGCTTGTAAGTACATCACTTAAACCTTTCCGGGGATAATCTGCAGATTAAAGAAGACAAAATGGCTGATCGTCTATTAGAATTTAAATCGCACTATTATAAAATGAGCAGGTTTTTTTGTCCTGTATTTATTGACTCACATTCACCTACGTGAAGCCCCAGATTTTCCTTGTTCTGATGTGTCATAGCATGCATGCCCTCCCACACTGCGTTGAGATCATGGTTATGTTCTCTTGCATTCTGTTTTTGTTCTTTTCCCCCTCTTGATCACATTCTAACTGACTTATGTTGTTCCCCTACCTTTTTATTCCCATATAAAATAGTGCTGTTTCCCACACAGTACACATCTCACTTCCTTAATTCAACAAGGTTTTACAAGAGAAATGAGGAAATCAGCTCGACCTCCTCATTAGAATTAGCAGACTCATGAAAAGCATCACAGCCTGTGTTCCACCATCTTAATAGATATTTTACCCCTTGTAAGGAGAGGCTTGTAGGTTGGGACAAGAAGGATGAAAATCTTACCGTTTCATCAAAAGTCAGATACGCGAAGCTAAACTTGACCAAATAAATAATAGAACAATGTTTAATACATACAATATTTCTAATGGTCTACTGGTAATATACTCAGCAGTGCTGATGGTCTCTCAGAAGTAGATCATCACTTTAGCTTGGAAAGTGCACACAAAGCACTCCTTAGTGGACAGAAGTGTCCCAGAACATGCTAGAAATTCGTTTTTTGAGTCTCTATCATAAAGTAGAGCATCAATAGATCTAAATGTGTTTTTTATATTAGGAAAAGCAGTGAAACAACATAAATGATTAGCTTAGCAGTTACAAACACTAACATTTTTCAGTTTTGACTGACACCAAAAATTAGGTAACTACCATTAGATTGTTTTAAAGGAATAGTAACTCTTACGTGACCCACTGAATATTTAAAATAATGACATTAAAACTCAACAACTTAAGATAGTCGGTTTTTAAGACCTACTAGTTGACACATTGCAGGAAATCACCAATGCAGAAGCAACCAAACAGGCAAGGCACACTGGAAATGACAAAGTACGTTTGTCAGTTTAAACATAGGAATTCAGCCATCATATTTAGTTATTCTTCCATACTCAGGAACACACTTAATAATTCTGCTGAATTGATGTACTAGTGCTACAACAATCATTTTATGACTATCACATTTAGTATATTTTTACTTATCAACCTTTTTACACATTTACAAGGTTAATATTGAGACAATTGCCACAGTATAGTAATAGAGCAGTTTAAATAGTTAGCCCACTAACGTAGGTCAGTGTAAAGAAATAACAATTAGAAAAACTCTATGTCGGTCAGAGCAAATTTGCTGTTAGCTTAGCTAGAATTCAGCAAATAATTATGCCGATAAATGTGAAAGTAAAATATCAAAGTGTGAGTAATGCAGCATGTGTTCCTTGCTCTCTTCTGTCTGGCTTTACAAACTCTTAACCTGCACTCCAAAAAAGGGCTGTTGCTCTTCTTTCCGGATGCTGATGCACATGGGTAACAATATCTTCAAACTAATTTTCCACGCCCACCTAAACCAGCTCATGGTCCTCATACAGCAGATGGTAGCCACATTACACAGAGAAAACCCATGCGCACATCACATGGAATGGCCCAAGCTCTGGTTTGATCAAGACACCTTCTGTCTGTGAGGTCTTTGTATATAGGAGCACCTTGTGTATAGGAGCACTTATTCCAGACACATACTCCTATATTTACAGGTGTATAAATCATTTTATAAATAAGAGAACATATCACTTGTTCTTTGGGTATTCACCCTCTTCAGGATTAAAAAAATGTACTTGTTTTTATGTCAATGTACAGTATTAGTTCATAGTTTCAATTTTAGTCAAATGTGGCTTTGTAGCACGCGTGCAGAAATAAATAGATCTAACTTTTGATAATAACTGCAATAGAAACACTGTGAGTCATTGTGAATGCCACCATGTGGCAAGCACGTGGTAGTCTTTATTATATTCATGATCACCCAGATATCTCTGACAGATAATGGTCAAAGACTTTTTTTCATGTGTAGAATGAATGAAAGCCCTTACAGATGACAACCGAAAAACATTATTGTTTGTATAAATGGGATTGAAATAAACATACTTACTGTGCCTATGGATGAAATACTCAGTATTTTACTATTAACTGGCTTTTAGAGGAAACATCATGTGCAGTGGAGAGTGAAAAGAAATGGAAACACACATTCAGAGCTTCCTCTTTCAAAGTTTCCATTGCTTGTACCTCCATCTGGTGGCTTTCTGTGTTTTTTTCTTATCTTTCTCTTTCCAACCACCTACAGTACAGCCCATATGTATATATATAGAAAAGGCACCATCATTGTTGTGTTTATAAAATTTTCCCTTGTTGCTGTCCATAAACCCACAGCGGATAAAATATATTTTACATTTACCTTTCCTGATAAGTCTCAGTCGATCGATTTACTATTTTTTGAAGAGATTTAAAATCTGGCCAAGTTTGTGTGCTATTTGAGTCAGATTATTGTCCATGTTTCACGTTGAAACATTACATTAATGCTGGAATTTCCCTTGTCATCCATTGTATGGACAATGATGTAACTATTTCCATTTTCCTCTTGAATGATTTTGTCTTTCATCACCGAGGGTGTCAGTGGGGTTTAGTATGGGTGGTTGTCTTTTTGTATAAGAACTGAACTCAGGACTTGTGCTGGTACTTCCCCTGTGGGTTTGTATAGCATTCCAACAATACACATCACATCTATTTCTGTCTTAAAAAGGTGTCAAGAGAACTGTGTAAGGCCGTCAAACAGCTTAAAGCCAGTGCTGTTTTCTTAATGCGTGCCTCATTTGGAAAAGAATCCAGCATCCAGTCAACATACAAAAATTCACTGGATGGTCATGCTTCAAAAGAAATGGATGCAAAATATTCTGACTGTCACAGTTAACTGACAGTCTAAGTGGACCTGGATTATAACATCCAAACTTAGCTAGCCAATATTTGTTTCAAATAACAGATTTTAAAAAGGAGATAAGTATACAATGGATATATTATTATGATAAAGATTCATGATTGCTGAAAAAAAGCAAAGAGAATTGTCATGTTAGCTGACTGGATACAAACCAGGAAACCTTTAGACCAAAAGGTCACAATGCCTTCATAATTATTGTTCCTTAGAGGAATGTGACAATCCAACAAACCTTTATTATTTTATTAGAAATGCTTCTGCTTACTCCAGATGTTTACTTTAAAACATATCCAGTGAAAATGCCCCCTCCCATTCTTTGTGTATCTTGTAAGTCTTTTTTTCCCACATTTCGTTCACATCCTGCTTTGTCTTGTTTACAGTGCACTTAGTGTCTTTCATTCCCACTCAGGTATGCCTGCTTTGCTCTAGGCCACGAATAAGAATGGCAGGAGGCGTGGAGTCATACATACGGGAACTGTTCTCACCTCCAGTTCAGACCTGACAGAGCTGCGTTTGGTCTACAACAGAAAGGTAGGAGACGCTTTATTTGTTCCCATATAGGTTCATACGTTTTGATGAAAATTGCAGAAAACATTTACAAACATAGCATTTTATCTTCAAGACCTAACCCACTTTAGAAGCCTCTGCTGTAATCAAACGAGTCATTATTGGACAAAATGATTAAGGTTGACGTATTTTTATTTTACAGTGAATCTTTCCTTTTTGACTGATTTAACGTGGCAGCTATTGTGACCAATCATATTTATGCTGCTAAAAAATGATTTAAACACGACAGCGTTTATGCCGGTTTTTATTATGTTCTGGCATCTTCCTAAAAAGCTGGCCTAAGAATGAACTAAACTCTTTTGGACTTACCAGTCTGTCAGCTTTTTGTTATCCACATGTACATCTGTGTTAAATGGGCTGTTGAATACTGAGCATAGTTAACCATAGCCCAATGTCTAAATGATCACAGTTCATCGACTGGTCTTTGGATCAGGGTACTTCTTGTTTACACAACAGAAACTGTTGTAGCTGAATAGACCTTTTTTTTTTTTTTTTTTTTTTACAAATGAGGCTGTTAAAAATCCTTTGCATCTCTACCAAAACTGATTTTTTTTTTTGCATTGTAATTGTTTTGCCAAATGGCAGCTTGAAAGGATTTAGCGCTTTTCTTTGTGAACATTTCACTGGAAGTCTTTTGTACCTAAAAGACAGGACACACCTTTCCTGGGAATTTTCCAAATGATTGAGTTCGGCAGAATTTCATTGACATGTTCAGAAGAATACCCAGAGGCTTAAACTCTTGGGGGAAGTTTAGAACATTTCTGGTAAACCTTGTTTGGGATTATTTTAATATTATCTGGGCTTGGAGAAGAGTTCAGATTCAAATTCTTGTGCTTTTAGAAGTAATGCAGTGCTACAGAAAAACTCCTGTCAGTATTTTATTACAGAATAATTGTTAAATTGCAATATTTATACGTGAATTAAGCAGAATATAAATATCAGAAACTACTATGGCAAAAAGTAATAAAAAAAATAAAATAAAAAAAGGAATTCTCATCTGAAGTGTGAGGACCTTTTAACTGTTCTAGAAAAAATGCTTGTTGAAAATGCAAATCTTTGGATCTGATTAGATTTAGCATCTGTTGAAAAACCCTCTACTCCTTTAAAACTTTTTAAACACAACTAAACAGTATGTCTATAGAATCCATGTGTAACTTGAGCAATAACCGTAAGACATTGTTCAATTTTTTCTCTGAAACCTTGACATGAATTAAGGATAGTTTTGGGGGATGGGATGCAAATGCAGGGCCAGAGTTTCAACATGACTTTAAAAGTAACCTATTCCTTAATCTGCAGCCCTCACAGAGACTTCCGAATGGCGTACGCCACTAGCACACTCGCGCAGGGCTGTTTTGGGAAGGTGTATAAGGAGAGGTACAATGATACCTGGGCTGCTGTGAAGAAGGTCCCCCAGCAGCTCATACCCAAGACAGACCTGGAGAGAGAGTGTAAAGTTTACAAGTAAGTGGTTGGTAACTCAAAAAGTCCCCCAGTGAGACAACCCAATGGTGTTACACTGGGGGAAGTGTAATTTTGTAGAAGTAACTATTTGTAATTCCAGTCCTTTTATACGAATGCTAACAATGTTTGGTAAAAAAATTTATTTGAATTTATGAAACTTTAAAGACCTTACGATTAACCCAAAAGACAGTTTCCTACATCAAGAGGATTCAGATGGTTTCTAGGTTTTCAGCCAAGGAAAACAGTCATTTTGAGTTAATTTGATTTGATTTAACTTGATGGTTTCTTTCCATGTATCCTTCTATGACTCACCACCCCTGATCTGCAGCGAAGCGAATCATCCAAACATAGTGAAGCTTCTGGGCGACATAACACTCAGGGATGGGAAATGGATAATTCCACTCGAGTTTATCTTTGGAGAGGACTTAGAGACAACTATCTTCAAGTCTTCAAAGTCAAAGATACAGGTAAGCTGAACGGGCAAGCAAAATGGCATTTTCTATGTTCTAATATGGTTAATTGAAATGTCTTGGTGCTTCAGTATAGAAACCTCTTTGCAGAATAAACTACTTATATGCAATACAAACTACTTACTTTGGTTTCATTGAAGCCAGTACATGCAAATGTTTTCACTGGAGGACTTTCAAGCCAGATTTAAATCAGGTTTATACTGTACTTGCCCTTCTGGTCTGGTTTGACGTGCCATGCTTTGTTATATTAATTCTTGCATTTTAAGCCACACCTAAGGATATTTAGACAGCTCAACTTGACCCTTTTTTTTTCTTAACAGCTGACACCAGCAAATAAAAACACCATCATTGTTGGCATGTGCGAAGGCCTGCTTCACCTCCACTCGAAAGACATTGTCCATCAAGACTTAAAACCTGAAAACATCATGGTGAGTACCAGTACCTCAGTGAATGTGTCAGTGAATTTAGGCAAAAACCCAAAACACACAAAGCTACACGCTGCTTATATTTATGCCCCAAACTGGAAATAGTCACACAACAACATTTTCTGCAACCCCAACAGAGTAATTTCCCATCAATCGAAATAGCGAGGCCTTCTGTCTCAGGATAATGTATGTATATATAAATTGCAGATATATATATTACATGCCTTCATGGGAACTCATTATAATAGTTATATAGTATAGTATATAGTATAGTACTTCATAATGATCATGCTAGTTATAACCGGAATAAAAATTCCCAAAAGAAAACTAAATGTAAATTATTATAAAAGGCCTGAAAACACACAGCACAGTCTCTTGCTATGTGTAGTGCTTGTTAGATATGTACTCAGCTCTTATCAAACAAGTCTGACAGCACAAGTTTCGATTGGCTCAGAACAGCAGCAGAACACGTTTGGCGGCCAACATGCACCTAATCAGTGATATAGTGAAATTCGAACCTGTGAACAATAAAAGAGCAGATTTGAAGAAAAAAAATGCACAAGCACAGGCAGATTATAGTGGGGATAAATCGTTTTTACTTTTCAGTCATACCTCTAATTGGGATATAAGATTAACTTTCTTCTGTATTTATTTCTGTTTGTATTTATTTGGCTATATAAAAGAAAATAGAAGACGACTCAATTTAGTAACTGTAAACTAGTTGTAATTTAATTAAGTTACCGTACATAGTTAATTACATGTTAAATTAGATATAAATGCTAAACCATTTTTAATCCCTCAGGTGGAACATGACACAAACCGAGCTGTAATCATAGACCTTGGACTTGCCAAGTTCTTCAGATATGGTCTTAACTCTGCAATGGACATGGGTAATGAGGCCTACTCAGCTCCTGAGATTTTACAGAGGCGCAGCCAACGGAACCAGCGCTCAGATGTCTGGGCCATGGGGAAGATTATAACTGAGCTCTGCGCTAGAGTTCGGCTATACACGCCTAGTGTCTGCCCTGCCAAGATCAAGGAAACCATTGGGGATCAGCCGTACTGCCATATTGTGTGTAAGATGGTAGAGCCTAACCCTTCTTTGAGGGCCACATTGAGTCAGGTCATAGGTGAAATACGAAGAGTAGGAGGCAAAGGCACTGTCACTAATGCACCTGTTCAAAAGGAACTGCTTAAGATACCCTTACCTGACACTCCTCGAAACCGCTTCCCATCACCAATAAACAGAGGCGCATCTCCACTACACAGGGATGTATCACCCATGAACCGGGCTGCACCAGCTTTCCAGAGAAATCCAGTACCCGCTAACCAAGACAGGTCTCCATCACCACTGAAATTCGAGCGCACCCCCAGACCCAATTTAAAACCCATGCATCCCCATGGACAGTACTGTCCTCCTTCCCCTAAGCCAGCGAAGGAAAGGAGCAAAGAGCAGGGACTGGTCCCAAAAGGCAGAGCAGACATCACAGACGACATGATGAAGATGAAGTTGTACCACGAAGCTGCCAAGGATCTCCCCTGCGACCTTCCAACAACAGGAAAGGTGGTGGTGCGTCGCTTTGAGCATAAAAATGGGGAGTGTGAAAGATGGACGCAGACGGAGGTGGTCACCCGTGATGGACAGATAATCAAGTTTGACGATATTAAGTTTGACAGCAAATAAGGTGTGGAATATGCATGCTTTGCAAATGATAGCTGAATGACTGGTTTACTTTTTGGCTTTATATGACGTGACGTGTTCGAAGTGTGGAAATGATTTAAAGACAAGTGCTATTATTCTTCCAGAGTCTTTTCGAATTGTTTTTGGCTATTGGAATTTGAATGATGAACGAGGGCCTGAGAATTTCATCCATGAAAAAAAACACACTATAAAGTACTCAATGCTTTCTCTCAAATGTCCACACATGAATCCTGCATTTTTGCACATAAAATGAGTCACCTCAATCACTCACGGATCGATGAGCATGTCAAACACCGTCTCACTGTTGATCCTCTTGAAAAAAGAAATAATTTAATATCCCATTAAGCTGTTTTTATTAAGCAAAGCTGCAGTGATTACCTGTATCCAACACCACAGCTAACCAGCAATTATACTGTAAATAAAAACTTAGTACTTTGAAACTCATTGGATTTTCAACCTGAGGCTCTCAAACCTTTTCACCCAGCCACAGTTTAAAATAAGCATGCGTTTCCACCAGTTATGCAAAGTCAAGCTCATGTTCACAACAATCATGTGCTGTCAATGAGCGACACAAGGCTTCTGTTAAGATGAACGCACTTACTTTTATATAGCATGTAATAACTTTTTAGAAGCGTATTTCAAACAGATTGAAAAGTAGAATAGCTTAGCCTTCTGAAATGCATTACGCATGTAAATACTGATGTGGCAGTACCAAATTCAAATGGAGGGCCAGACATCTGCCTGTTGGCCTCCATAGTTAGATAACAGGCAAGTATGATCACGTATTCTTTACATGGAAGTGTGAAACTGATTACTGCAAACCTGTGTTATCTGTGAAATGTAATGCCTACAATATGATATGACCAGCATTCACAAATAAATGATGGATTTATGTTTGCAACTGTTGTATCTGTTGTTTACCTGCCAAGCTTTTTAGGAACCTAATTCAGTCAGGACCGCTGGTGGGTAGGACCAATGATCAGCTGAATGATACTACCCAATTTTCAAATGGAATTTACATTTGTAGAAATCATGCCCAGACATGGAGGGAACACCTTGTGCTTTAACAGAGCTGTTTGGGTTCTCTGCATTTCTGTGCCTATTTTACTCCATTCTATAGGAAACCCCAGTGACTTCCCATTGTTAAAGAAGATGCCTGATGATATGTATCTAAACTGTGTTGACAAATATATAGACTTGAGGGAACCTCTTGCCTTTTGAAAAGCTTTCTAATTAGTGAATTACTTCAAAGTGGTTCTAGACTGCCCTCTTCTGGACAAAACACTAAACTACAACCAATTTCAGTGACATTTCCTCATCAAGTTGCTGAGCAAGCAAACTTTATCCATGTTTCCCCCATTTATTTATCCTTTTAATCAATTTACAAACGCCAGGCACGTTCTTTAAGGCTTTTATTCAACTTGTGGTTTGTTTCCAGTCTACATACATTCATCATCTCGGAAAGGAGACAATAACTCTCCAGACATTAACCTCCATTCATATTCCCAAATCCACCTCAACGGGAACTATTTTATTGGTACAGGCAGTTGTAGCTCCAGACCTGCATTGCTTCCAACTTGTGATTTCCATCAAGTGCCAGTCCATCACAGGGCTACACAGAGACACACAAGGACAAAAAACCACTCACACTCACTCCTAAGGGCAATTTGGAATGTCCAATCAACCTAACATGCAGGTTTTTAGACTGTGGGACTGTCCCAACTTCCTTGTTATCATGACAACCTTTTGATAGACTTTTTGATTGCATTTGTTTCATTCCCTTTGGATGTTAGGCTCCAAACTACATGTTGAGTCATGAATTTGAAGTCTTTATCTCCCAGCACTAAGCATTGCCTTAAAGCCATATCTGGGAGAGTAATCCTTTTCTTTCAAATTTGCAATGATTCCCAGTACTCTCCTTTTTTAAACAAGTTGTAACATGTACAGTGTTATCTGCGTCACACAAAACTGCCACTATATGACAATCTGCTTCCAGAACTTTCCTCTATACCAAAGGGGGTCTTCATTATTGTTGAAAATTCACTTTTTTTATTGGAAATCTTGCTTAAAGAGGTCCTAATTAATTATATGCCATATGTCTTAACACGTGACAGACTCAATTTTGTTGGATTTAAAAAGCTAAGCACAAAGGGACTCCTACACTTCTCCAAAAGACACTGTAGGGGGCACTGCTGCTCAGTCAGTGGAGACAAAGTCTAGAAGTCAGAAAACTCCATCAGTAAGAGCAGAGCAAGTGGGCTGCCCCCTCTTCTTTGCCCAGAAATGGTGGATTACCAGGCTTCTGATGTTATGAGACAAGAAGCGCATAGAGAGGCACTGGAAGCTATTGTCTCTCTTATGAATGTCTGGTCAGCATAGAGCCGGCAAACATAAAGGGGCAAAGCACACAGTGAAGCCCTAGATCTTACAGTGGGGCAGCTGTGTGTCTTTTATTAAGTTATTTTACTTGAACTCCTCTTACATTTTTCTCAATATGAAGCGATGAGACTTTTAAAAAAAAAGAGAAAAGAAAAAAATGAAGACATTGGATTCTGTGTTTTCTAAAACAAAATGCATCCGGCCATCATGTTGCATCATCCTCAAAAGCAGCATTCAACAAGGTTGTGCCAGTCGCTCACTCATCTGTGTGAACATCGCTGAGCCGCTTCGTATGACACAAAAGGTACAACCCCTTCTTTCATCAACCCATTTCTCCCACCTTAACACAGACTGAAACCTTTCACACCAGCCCATGTTCTCACAACCGTTTGGTCACATACACATGCAGAGCATTTCTATGTTCGTAGTGGTCTGTGGGACCTGTGCGAGCACACAAACACCCACACAAACACAATGATATATGACAGAAGCTTCTTGCTTTCTGGTTTTAATAGCTCTCCCTGAAAAAGTCAAACATTAAATTTTTAATAGCTTTTCCTCTTTGTGCCATGTTAGCGTACATTAAAAAGTTGAAGTTCCTCTACAATTCAGTAAAGTTTAGAGATGAGTCACTCCTACAATGGTGAAGACAGTTAGGGATGAGAAAGAGAAAACAGGGAAAAAAGAATCGTTTGTCAACCACTGCTCCTCGAAGTTTGTGTATTTGTGGGAAAAACGAGAGCAATGATTAACTGATTTAGACTTCCTTTAATGTCATTGTACAAAGCCACATAGTGAATTTGAGAACGAAATGTCGTTGGCTACCAGGTACAGTGAGGTCCGTATGTATGTTAGGTAATACATACAGTGGATAATTTGAAAAAAACAGTTGGGATCTGAAAATAAACAATACAGGTGATAACAAAGACAGTGTGGTAGCAGCATGGATTAAGATGTAGAAATGAAATTAACAATCTGGTGTTTTACTGTACATAATTGCACTTTATGAGGAGAACAAAAGTCAGATTGCTTGAAAAACAGACTTTTGCAAACAGTGCAAAAGTCATTGTGATTGAACAACTTTTAGAAAGTGGAATCATAAATAAATTACAGATCAATAATGAGAAAGTGGAATAGCCATCATAAAAGTAAGAATGTTGGAGAAGTCAAACCAAAAGAAACCTTTCCTTAAAGATATAGGATGTTTTCAAATACATTCGGATAATATCTACAACATGAAACAAAAACTGATGTCATGAATACTTTATGATGGAGATTAGATTAATAATGTATATCCATAAAAAATTTACATAAAATCCAAGCTAAAAATGTGAGTTTCCCCTTTGCCTTTGTGTTTTTTACACATGCAATTTTTTTAAATGAAAGAATAAGAAGCAAATATAACAAGATACTGACATCATGTCATACATATAATGCAAACATACACAGACAGACTCACACAGGATCAGATTAACAGCTGATTTAACAAGTTTCTGTCTGATTTGGCTGCGTCTGCTTCAAAGTGACAATCGTCCATCCAACGCATTCACATCCACACAGTTAAGCAATCATGCATGTAGTTCAGATGCCTGATGTGACAAATGTGTGCAAGAGCAACAACACGTGATGCGTGCACCGAATTATCACATCAGTGTGTGTTCGTGCGAGTTGTTCTCAGCCTTCTGTCTCCTTTCATCGTACAGATTGGACAATTCTGCTCTCAGACTCTCCCGTGTCTGTTCCAAACATCTGGCTCTAGGTGAATCTTTTGATGTAAAACCTGAGTGTGTGTGGGAACATGTTTTATTAGAAACTTTAGTTGTTTGTTTGTTTTTAATCTTTTCGTTTCTTACCAGAACAACTACCAAAATCATGAAAACGTGTACAATTGTGTTTTTATTCTGTAAACTATATCTTAATCTAAGACTCATAGCTCTCATAAACAGATGAATATGTGCTCCTACACTTTATTTTGAAAAGTTAGCTCAAAGAAGGTAACCAAATGTTACTCCAGGATCAAACTTCCTGTTAACAGATGATGACAAATACAGTACATCAGATCATCCAATCACATTTGACGGCACAGATTTTTAAAAGTTGTCTTTCTCTGTCATTTCTTCCTTTAAAACAGCTGCTCTCATACTATACTTTTCTTGTTCCTCTTTTATACCACCATGCTCTTCAGTGGCAGCCGGTGTGGTTTTGAGTGCATTTACACACAAAATAATCACTCAGAGAGAAAGGCAGAAAGTCTGTGTCACTCTACTTTCTCCTCTCTTTCACCTCAATGGGATGTAGGCTGGATCAACAACTGTTTAATTTATGAAGTGGCTTATTTTTCCCCAAAATTCCCCAGATCTTCAAAAGCAACTTACAAAGTAGAATATATATATGTATGTATGTATAGCTTCTGAACAAAACTATACTAAAATGTGTTGTTTAGCCATGTAAATATTACCTGTAAAAATCACAGAATTTGGTTTCTATTGTACTCTGATCAGATTTTTGTCTTTTCTCCTCAGGTGTGTTGTCTTCGTCATCACCTGGGGCGGAACCTGTCGCTCTGGCAGTCAGGCAGTTCTTACAGGCAAGATGCTCATTGAGCGCTACCTTTTAGCACCGAATTAGACAGAGATAAAGATAATTTCTTTGAGACCATGCCTGTAGCAGAAATGTTATGCTTTCAGTGACCTTGATGAAATGGCCCAGCTGTCTGGATAATGACTGACATAAACTCCTTTCTGGGCACTCGTCAGTTTTAATTTATGGGGTTGTGTGGGGTTTGTCTGCTTATAATTTTCAAGGCAGGACATTTTAGATTTTTAGACAGAATATCAATTAGGTAGTTCATATTAGCAGGGAAAATGTCCTATGAAAAAGGAACTAACCCAATCCTAACCCAAACCCTAACCATGAAACAGTAAGATGTACATCAGATGTACATTGTGCTACTGTCAGAGAACCATTTGGTGGACTGAAAGTCAGAAACATATGATTGCACAAGATCCTGGCATGAATGAGCAGCCGGAAACATTTAAATCCTTTTGAGTCAGAATGTCTCCTTCAAAATCAAAATTACATTTATTCACTGAAAGTAAAAAAAAAAAACAATTCATATAATGGCTCCTAGCTCTTTTTGTTTGGCTCAGACCCATCGGCAATGGAGGGTTTTTTAAGTAATTCTAAGTACCGTAGCTGTGTTTGTGGGGTTGTTTGGACGTATCGACTGCACACTCCCTCGCTTTTATGCAAGGGAAGGAAGGGAAAATCTTGAAGGGCAAAGCCTGTATGAAGTAGGATGTTAATCATGTTTTGGGGCTCATGATTGCAGGGGAAAAGGCACCGAGCCATTGTGAGGCTGACAAGAAAAACAGGGAGAAAAAGTTGTTTGATAGTCCGGTCTCAGTCCAGTTTATGCACAAGGTTTGATCGAGGTGTGGCCCACACAATGGGTGGGCGCTGCCTACAGTTCTTTAGGGATGACCCAATCAGAGATAGCCATGAGGGGCCGCATCAGTAC